TTACAAATAAGAGAAAGAAAATATATTGCTACAGCAAACCCATTACCAAGAAATTATCATAAAACAATAGAACAACACATCTAAGTCAAAGTTTTGCACAGTCATCTGGCTCAGTAAAGATATTTGGCCCTGAAAAAATAATTAACATTATCTTTATTGATATGACTCTCAAATTTGGAAATAATTGGGGAGAGCAAAGCACATCTCAGGATATCATATAAGAGACACCATAGCCACAAGGGTAAAGTCTATGATGATAAGCACTCTCATGAAATCTGCCCACCAATAATGCAGAAGGAAGAGCATTAAAATGGATATACGTATATGTATATTTTACTAACCTACCTCACTATACCACCATATCCTGGAGACCCAGTTGTCTGAACCTCAGCTCCCATCTGCCTCGTCAGCATAGCTAATAGAGAAGGAATTGTGGGCATTTCAGTCCAAAACATTTGAAGGACATAAGGTTACCTATTCTTGTTCTATATCAGCATTTCTTAAAATGTGGTCTGAGGACCCCTGGGGGTCCCCCAATACCCTCTCAAAATTATTTGCAAGTTATTAAAGATACTTGCAACATTTTAAAACAAAATCACTCTTCTTGTTATCTTTTTATTTGTTAAAAAATATATGAAATGATTTCATGAAAAATATATAATGGGTTTAATATTGTTATTTTTACATGATTCAATAAATAAATATTCTACAAATGTATCAGTTTTAATTTTTAATACAGTAAATACCAATAAATCTAACCCATGCAAACAAAAACTCTTTTGGGGTCCTCCATAATTTTTAGAAGTGGGAGGGAGTCCTAAGAGCAAAAAGTTTAAGAAGCACTGCTTTATACTAATGCCTAATTTGTCTATTTTACTTTGACCAAGGACGTATCTAGAGAGTCTATCCATCTAGAGTGTGCCTGGTGGAAGAAGCTGTAACCCCTGAGCATTGCAGATTTAAGTTAAAATGCTTCAGATTTATGTATTTGAAACATAATTAAGCTTTACCCTAATTTATTTTAGTTCCAACAAAATTAATCCCAACAGTAATTTGGTTGAATTTAAGATTGACATCAGTGCAATAGCTCAAGTACAGATCAGAGGGTAAGTACATTTATTCTGAGCTCAAATATAAAATGAATCATAATTAGTTATTTAGTTTATTGTGGCTGTGTGTTATTTGTGATTATTGGCTCCCAAATGTGGCATGCCTTAAAAGATACCTCTTTTCAGAATTTCTATTGGTTTCCCATCTGATCAAAACAATTCTACTTACACATCTTCTGATGCTGCTGTATCACATGTATGGCCAGATTGTATATTTGCAAACTGGCATATTGGCTTAACTGTAAGCTGAAAGTCATGTGAAGACTGATGGAGTATGATGAATCCACGCCAACAGGTCTTTTATGTGATTGCATAATATGATAAAACTTTACATTTACCAGTTTGGCTGCTCATTCCGCACCAGGCAACTTTCTTACTGTGTGTGTATTAACATGACATCCTGTGCCATTCTATTCATTCTTATTCATAGAAGAGTCTTCCATCACAATAAATTAGATTTAAATTTACTAAATTAGTGGAAAAATAGTCAGAGTTCCTGTAGGCTATCCAAGAGGGACTGTTCATGAAGCAGGATTGCCTCAGGACATGATTTCCACACCGTTTTTGAAACTTTTTCAAGTGCACATCACAGCAACATGGAAAACTCATCTTCAAGAACATATAGCCAAGGTTCCACATGGGTCATGAAATCATTCTTAGCTATATTATTATAAAATAACATCCTGCAAAGTGTGAATATTCTGACATGTATATTTTTAATTAAATATCTAAATCTAATCTAATCATCTGATCTTTAGAAGAATGCTGCTGAGGGAATAAAAAATAATACATATCCTTAATATCCTATAGCTGAATACAGTTAACAGTAGCTGTGTATTTCCTGAAAGAATATCTTGCCAATACAGATGTTGCTCATATCGTGTAAAACAAAGACATTTCCTTGTTTCCTAAGGAACATTCAAGGGGATGTTTTTAGCAGAATTAATACATATTCAGTTAAGATGGCATCCCTTCTTGAAACATTCTGCTTTTTTTTGTTTCTATTACAAAATATTTTTTAAAAAGTCAAGAACTGATTATTGGCTCTTATTTAAGTGACTATACTGTATTTTAGTAATCTAGTAATTTGCATTGATGTTAAAAGTTAAACTATACAACAGAGGTGAGAGGTGCTGTTTAATACCAAATGAATGGATATGTATGTGATGTCTTTTTGGAATCTGTGACTAGTGTCAGAAGTGCCCACAAAGAGGTCAAAAAATTCAAGATGGCAAATGCAACCGTGCAATCAAAGCCCTGCCAGTTTTTTTACATGATGTACATGCAATCCATAGAAAAAACTATTGAGGTTTCAATCATACAGTTGTGGCCGCCATCTTGACATTTTGACCCCATCTTGCAGATGCCCCTAACTAGCATCATAGTTGTTATTTCTTCCATAAAGCCTGCAGAGTTGTATCATAAGCATTTCTCTGTTAATATTCTAGCACGCCTAAAGATTTTTAACTTTCTTTCAAAAATGCTATGTGAGCTTTATCTGTAAGGAAGTACTTATGGATGACTTATATAAATGAATCAGCAGAGGATCAATTACAACTTGGAATCTGATTTATCCATTCTTTTCTATTGGATTTAATACTTTTCCTTTGTTAAACATAACAAGTGATCTCATGTGATTATATTTATGAACCATTTCAGAGTTTCTCATCCTCCACAAATTGTATTGCCAATTCATAACTGGAAACCAAAAGATGAACCTACTAAAGAAGATGAGATTGGACCTTTGGTGGAACATATATACGAGGTTAAAAACAAACAAATAAATATAAAAACAGCTTCCTAATAAGCAACTGCATATTTTTTTATGCATAATACACGAAGAGTGAAGTTTATTGAGTATTGAGAAAGTATCTTTGCCATGTTTAATTTACTTATTCTGTTCTGCTGATGTTGGGTGAATTAATTCCAAAGACTTCTGGAAGGCCACAGATTCTCCACTATAGTCTAGTACAAATCTTGGCAAAAACCAGTTGCAGAACCTTGCTTTAGGCAGCCTTGGTTGCCTGAGCCAATCAGGAATTCTCTTTATTTCTTAATATCTAGAGAAGTTGCATCAGAATTCACAGATTCAGTGTAGCCCTACTGTCTCTTCAGGTCCCCAACCAAATGTGGCCATGTTTGGGGAAGAAGTATTGTGAGAAATGAAGAAGACCCATCCATGACCATATTCAGTTGGTATGCATTAATGTGGCAAGAGCTGCATTGGATCTGTGACACCATAGCTGATTCATAGCTAAGTACATCTGTTATTTTAAATTGCAGAGCTGCTCTAGGAGAGCAAGATTGTGACTATTTAATTTTTTTCCCTCTCTTCTAAACTTCTGCTGTGAAACAGCTGCTGCAATAATCTTTCTGAACCACTGGACATATATGCATTCCTTTATCTTTAATTTACTAGGCAAAGATGGTAAATCTCAATAGCCCTTCCTTCAATATTATTAAGATTCTGGGACATGGTAAAAATGATGTTTTTCCTAACATTTAATTCATGCCCTTATCCCAGAAACTAGGCATATTAGACAAGCCAAGCAACCTAGATGAACCAAACTAAATTACAATGAAGTGCAAATTAAAAACCAATTAAGAACCACATCTTGAAATGAATGTGGATTTTTCATAAATGTTAATATATATTATTATCATTCCATTTCAAAGGGTTACTCAAATGAGTGCTATGGAGGGAGTAAAATATAATGAATACATAATCTCTTTGGAATTTGATGGATAACTCAAATTTGAGAGTGAAACAGGATGTTTCACATATGGTTTTTATTTACAAATCAGTAGGCAGGACAGGATGGGCAATCTCAGAGGGAACTATGGATGACAAAATATAAACAAAATTATAAATTGAAATCTTACAAGGCAAGCACTGTGTGTTGGATATTGAGGGATTACTGAATGTTCTTGATAATTTGGAATTAAGTTTAATATACTATTACTAGCTCAGCACATTCATGTATTAAAAACATGCCTATCATAGTTTCAGGCTGTGCTCGTGAAGCCCCTTATTATAGGACTATAATATGTCTAAGATACTATTGTGAGTACACTGGAAAATTAATAGCTTTAATGGATAAGATATGATGTGGGGAAAAGAAAGCTGTAGAGTTGAGAACATTAGAAAGAGTGGTTAAGCTCATACCACATTAAGATACTTTACTTTTTTGCTTTTGACCAGAATGATAACATAACTTCTGTAGAGGCATACCTTTAAAGAGACAATTTTAGTTATAATGTTATATTATTGAAAGTGGTATTCTACTCCCAAATTATCCCTTGTACCTGATTGTCAGATTTCTGAGAATATCTGTGACAAACTAGTAATAATTGACTACAGATAGTCGTCATTTACCAACTGCTCATTCAGCAACCGTTCAAAGTTACGATGGTGATGAAAAAGGAGATTTATGACCAGTCCTCAAAGTTGAAGCTTCTGCAGCATCCCACAGTCATGTGATCATGATTTGGGCACTTGGCAACCAGCACACATTTACAACAGTCACAGCATCCCACCGTCACGTGATTACCATTTTCAACTTTCACAGCCAGTTTCTGACAAGCAAGGTCAGTAGGGAAGCTGGCAGAAAATTGCAAGTTGTGGTCATGTTACATCATACTTAATGACCACAGGTGATTCGCTTTACAACTGTAGCCAGAATTGACATAAGTCGGCACAGTCACATGACATTTCACTTTACGACAATGTTGCTTAGCAACAGAGTTGGCAGTCCCAGTTGTGGCTAGTAAATGAGGATTACCTGTAATCTAGTTAATAATTTAGTGAGACCTTTAGTCAATTTAAAGTACTTCTAGGCTTTGAGTGAACAGTCAAATTGCCAAATGTTACTGAATAATAAAAAACAGAGACATGAAAAGTGTTTCATTTCAAGCATAAAACTTCACATTTCCATGCAAAAGTGCAGTTCTGTTCAGCTGTTTGAGTATTTGTGGAAATAATGAAACACTTCAAAGCTCTTGGAGCAGCCTGTTTCATGCTTGGAAACGAACATTTCATAAAGTTTCATGTTTTGCACTCAAAATAGTTGGAAATGAAAGGTTTTACACACCCATGTTAGAAAATACCTGAGTGTCCTGTGACACTCATTTTGTTTATTTATGATTTTGTTACCTTTATGTTAAATCCAGCTGAAAAGGCAAAACAAAATACTTCAATTTTTCCAATCTCATTACCTCCTTAAGTAGGGCATCCTTTTGGGTATTGGAAAGGCACTTAGCATCCTCTGACTCTCTGCTATACCAAAGGCACATGCACACACACAGTGAGACAGCCAGCAGTATACTCCCCCCCATCCCAGGGTCTCATCTTGCTCTATGAGGGACTTATAAAGAAAGTGGAGATTAATAATTTTTTGTGACAATTTATGTACAGTATGTCTTTCTAACGATAGATTCAAATGCTATAGAAAAAGAAAGTTGTACTAGGAAGGCTGATGAAGCATTAGAGTAGTTAAATAAGGGGGTCAAAACAGGCAATGATCTGAAAAGCAGAAGCCTGAAAAAATACTGAATGTGGAGACCACAAAGTTAAAAGGAGAAGCACAAGAAAGCAACCAAAAAGGGATTAGAGTAGATTTCCCCAATCTGGGGCCTCTGGGACATATTTAGACTCCAGTTCCCAGAAATCCCACCTGATTTTTTAAAAGTTGCAGTCCCAATCCATCTGGACTGGGGAAGGTTAACTTACAGCAATAATGGCCAAAGGACCATTGGCCCAAGGCAGGCAAGTCTTGGGAACATCATCTAACTAGGCCTTCAGTCTGCACTGGGGAAATGTTCATAGCTGTGACTTCAAAAAGTAGTGATAGAATTGTAATACTGAGGTAGGGATGAAGTAAAAAATTGCATCATGATGTGCATAAAATCTTTGCTATCAAATTTTAGCTTAATTTTTTATTATTATTGATCCAATGTAGTTACACAACATTGGGCCAAGTGCCATAAATGATACAGTCCTGTATGTGGAGTGGCCAGTGTTGAGCAAAACAGAACTCCTTCTTTACATCCTTCACATTCAGACGCATGGACCTCTGCAGTGTCAAACAAGCTCTGCAATTAACAGTTTGGAAGTAAAGGTAAGAGAGAAGAGTTTCTTGATTCTCCTGTTCACTAAAACTTTGCTCTTGAGACTTTTCTAAACTTGATCATGCCAATAAGTTAATTCTAGAATTATTTATAGATATTTTCATCTAGGCCAGCAGCATAAAGAAACAGACTGTTCATAGGAAGTCATTTGTGGGTAATTCTGGTTATTTATCAATCAGTACTAGTACAAAGGATTTATTTTCTAGTTTGCAGTTGTGCAGTAAAAAGTATACAACTCCTAAGGAAGCTGTTTCATATAAAGTCACACTTTCCACCACATGGAAAAGCCATCTTTGCATTTCAAGTGTACCTTGGTGCAGCTATTTATATAATTACATCATGCTAAAGTTTCAAATTAAGAGTAGTATCTTCCTCATCAGAGACTGAGGTACAGGAGTGATAACTGTCCATTAAATTTCCAAGGATGATTTTAGGGACTATCATACCACCTCCTCTTGTTTGATCAGGAATCACTTGCCAAGCTGAGAATTCTTTTTGCATACTTCTCCTTTCTCGTGCTATATATAATATGTAACCCAACTGTACTACACACAAGGCCAGCTTGCATAGTCCTTCCCACTCTAAAATGGAAAGGGAAATAAACCTAAATACGTAGGTGTGCATCCAGTTCTCTACAATATATTCGCTCATGCTGGGTTGTGAATGCAAAATACTGCTTTTTCTTCTACAGCCTCACCTCAAACACATCAGACTTAATTATACCAAGTTTTTGATCAAGCAATACTTCTAAAGGTTGATTTAAATATTTCAAAGTAATCATAATCTCAGCAAATTCAGAAAGTACATCCAAAGTTATTCAGAAAAAAAATAGGAATTTCTAAATTTAAACCACCTCAGAGTCAATTCTAGTACAGTATTTTTCTTCAAGGGAGATTATTTATTTATTTATTTTACTTAGTTATTCAGTTTGTATAGCGGCCCATCTCAAACAAGTGACTCTGGGCAGCGAACAATCATAAAATCAATTAAAACAATTAAAAACACAATACAAAAAGAAAAAGTTACGTATGGAAGCATGCGATTAAGAAAACGATTGGAATGAAAAATGCCTATGGAATTTACAGGAAATGTCCCCAATCAAGATTTGTTAATGTTTAATAATCCATGGAGTTTCTAAAAAAAAATTACAATCAGCCATAATATTTGAATAGATGTATTACACTGAAATTAGTTTTCTAATAATAGAGGCATCTAGTTTCATTTCATTTTAAAACTACGTTAGATGAAAAATTCTCCTTCATGGATCACTGCCTTGTCATGGCGAAGGGGCTTGCGTAACTCAGTGAAGCCA